CCAGCGTCGAATAAAAGGATGAAATCAGACGCTGAAAGGAATTTAATTACAGCGAATAATATCGGATTATGCGCGCCAGAGTGTGCGAATGCGGCGTTTGAACTCTTTTGACGCGTGTCTTTGCCTAGCCCGATATTGCATCAGGCTCTGATGCGAGCTTATTAAATGTCACCTTTGTAGCATTTCACGTTCGCAGACAGTGGGAATTAGAGCTGAAGCCGGCGTGCGCGGAATCGCAACTGAAAAGAAGTCAAAACGCTCGCAAGTTCATTACTTGTGTGTGATCTTCTTGGGAAAGAGGGATTTACACCTGTTTATGGCGTGTGATGTGACTCGATTTGAAAGGCAACTCGACTCGCTCCTTTCCACAAAGTTCATCAGCTCCTTTTAGCGTAAAATGGCTTTTAAATACTTCTCGCAATGCTCACGGAAAACGACTTTTCCAGAAGTTTCCTTTAATTTCAGCACTTTCCGGGGAGATTCGTAGAAATTAAATTTCAGAGTTGAATAAAAGCGGGAAATAAGATTTTTGATATTAAGGAAAAACTCTGCAAAAATGAAAGGAGCAAAGCTTCTTCATTACTGTTTTACTAGTTAGAGCAGTAAATTAAAATGCTCTGGAAAGCTCAAATCATTGTGTAATTGTTAACTTACTTAGAAGTTCCATACATTTTTTTTCTTCTTCTGCAAAAGACAGTTGCCAAAATAGAAACGATTGTGAGCTCAAAAGAGGTCCCCTGGAAACAAGCGTCTTTCAAGTGCCAAAAGAATGCTCTCGGTTGTCTGGGCCGGGCGCAAAAATTCGTCCATATCGGAATGGACGCCCGTCTTTGATACCCTCACAAGGCGCGAGCTTTCTCCCGGCGGCACGACCAGGGGCCAAGCACATAAATAGCCGCAACACATTCAGCGGTTTTGTTGTGTATCGAGGGCCATTGTTGTCGGGGCCAAAGAAGAGGAGCAGCCAGGGAGAAAACTCTGCAAAGGCAGGCTTTTGTTATTTTATGCGAGTGCGTAGCGCGCCGCATTTTCTTTGAAGAGCGGCCAACAAAACAATGTGTTATTATTCGTGCGTTCTCGATAATTAGCCTCGAGCCCTTGCCGCTCGGCTGATTCCGAAAGGGACGCTCTGATTGCCCTGCCCAAAATCAAAACTGTCTGGAGTCGGGATTAATCGCCGTGGAGAAAATATTGCCACGTGACTGAGTTCGTTGAATGAGGAAAAAAGTGATTCCGAGAACTCTTCGCAGCCGTAAAACGCGATTCGGCGTAAATAAAAAAAAAATGAACAAGCAACCCGCGCGTTTTTAATGCTCCACTGGTTGCATACCTGTCATTTCACCTCTGAATCCGTCATAATATTATTGCGCGTGGCGTCGGCGGCGGCGGCGACCGATTGCGTGAGAATATTTAATGACTCGTGCATTACTCACCCCGCTCGCATGCATAATACGTATTTCCATTGCAATTACTCGCTCGTTACTCTGTTATTACCGCTGCACTTATATAATTTTACAAAGGTTGTTCAACTCAAATGCACGTGTGGACAATAAAAAATACTACCGTAGTTTTATGACTCCAGTGTACAATACTACGATTTCCATTAACACACGAACTACACTTCTCGGAAGCAATTGCAGTACTTGTTCCTGATTTTTTTCCATTTATATACATGCACAAAAAGATAGAAAGATGTTGCGTGTTTTACAAAGTTTTCCTAGTAAAATAATAAGCTTTTTAACCTTAAATCTTTTCATTATAAGTATTTTTTTCATTACATGTATAAAAAAATTGATTTTATAAATATTTTGTATTTCTAATATTCATTAATAAATTATAATAGTTGAAACAAATTGTTACAGCACATTATGGAGAATAAAAAATGAAATAAAAAAATTTAAGTGTCAGAAATTAAATAAAGAATGCATCTTACAACAAATTATAACATATTGTTATAGATTTCAATACGGAGTTTGCCAGTTGTTCATATTTTATCATTAAAGTCTGATTAATTATTTAATTCAAATTAATTTTGAAATAAAATAAAGGCACTTATTAATTTGATTTGATCCGTTGAGTGGTTGCGTGGCTCGATTTAAACTGTGTTGTGCCTGATGTGGTCGGGGCCTCCTTGGCTCGGATTTAAGAGGAGTTCTCTGCTTTCGCATCCACCTAACTCAACTCATCCCGCCGAGAGTCTGTCAGAGACATTTCCTATTTAAAAGCAATACGGCCGCCGCCGCCCGAACAACAACAGCAGCCTCTCTCTTCTCAGTGTGCAGTTCAAGCAGTAATTCAATTAACCCCCGACCGATATCTTTTCAAATGTAAAGCCGTCGCACAAGAACATTCGAGCGAAAGCGCTCGCCGGCCGGGCGCACAGATAAATGGAGAGAGAGAGGAAAAAAGGCGACGCTTTTTATTCAGCAAGGTGCATTTCAGGAACTGGGAAAAGTACTAGTCGCGTCGCTTTGTGCGTTCGGGAACAAAAAGATGAGATGACGACAAAGGCAAACTAGAGATTGGCTCCAATCGTTTCTTCCTGCTGACCACGGTCGACAAAGATGTGCACAAAGCCAGAGAGAAAAAGGGCAGAGAATTTGCTTCGTGAAAATAAAAAAAAAAAATTAAAATTAAAAAAAAAAGTTTTAAAAAAAATTTATGAATAGAAATTGATGGATTTATTAATATTTTGAGTATTTTTGCAAAATTGATTAAAAATTAATTTAATCAGATCAGAAACTATTAAAATTGTACTCAATTTCACGTTTGTCAAAGTTGGTTACTCGGAAAGCAAACGGAAATAATATCATGTGCGCGTCTCTCGCTCCTCCAACACAAGTTTGTTTTTCCAATTTTGTCTCCCACACGCCGAGCGCTTCGAATATGCAAACAATGAATGCTATGACAAGCAAGTCAAATGCGAAAAGATATGGAGTTGCCTCTTTCATTACCATGTCATGTTCTTGTTACGACGCGCTCGCACTATAAAAAAAGACACACACAAAAAACTCATCCTCTCACTGTGCAAAAAGCTGCTAATTTACACATCATACCAACTTCGGATTATAGGAAGATGAGAAAAAACAATTTTTTCGCGCCGCTTCTTCATTCGTCATAAAACGGACGAAAGGGCAATTAAGGACGATTTGGTTCTGCGGATTAATTAGCATTTTTATACGTGGCGGCGACGCTGATAAGGCAGAGTGTTGAACAGCAAGTAAGTAAGAGAGACCAGCGCACTCTCGGCCGAGCTTACAACATTTGCATAATTGGGTTGCCGCTATCGCCATGCGCCGCATATTCTCGTGAGCCACTTGAGAGCGGCATTGGAAATTTATCTCATTACCGCGAGTTGGTTTTGCTTTAAACGCCGGCAGAGGTGCGGCGCACACGCTCCCAATCGGCAAAGCAGACCCCTAGGAATGTTAATTCGTACGTAATGCGCCGTGATTGTCCCAAGCGTTGCGGATTAGCCGCCGTGTTGGCGCGACAGGGGATGTGATGCGATCGCATTGATGCTAATCAGAGAGCTGCGATTCCCAATTAATTTCCAACTGATTTTCATTAGTGTTTTTTTCGTATAAATAAAACAACAATAATTTTTGATATTTTATAGGAAAAATTTTTTCATCTATTTTATTGGCAGGGTCCTTAATGCTTAAAAATCATATTTTTTTAAGATTCGGATTACAAAGAACTTTGTGAAGTAAATCAAACCAATCTTTGTTGATTGTGAGTTTTTTTATGTTATTGTTAAAAAAATTTCCTAAATCTATCAGAATCGTTACCCATTTTTCTCTCCGGATTTCAAATATTCAACTTTTTAAGTACTTTAAAATTTATTTCCCTAAAATATAGATGCCAATTTATTTGTTATTTTGTTTGCTCGTTTCAATTTTGGCACAAAATCAACACATATACAGGCCGTAATATGACCAGACACGGTGGTGCTATTATGGTAATGGATTTGCAGCATCGCCATTATTCCAATTATAAATATTTAGTTGTTATTTCACTCATCGGTGAACTGCCGCACGGTTGATGATATGCTGCTTTTAATTTACGGTTATTTTTCGTTCCAATTACGTCAACAAGTACATACAAGCGCGCCGTGTGACAAAACGAGAGCCGTATTTGTATTTGATGGCAAAACTGGTGACGCGCGAGATGACTAACTGCCGGTCGTCCAAATTGATTCGATGCCGGTGAATGTACATTTTCTCTCTCTCGCGCAGTTTATTTATATATTTATGTTTTGTAGTCTCACTCGTCGCGGCAAATTGTTAATTTCCCTGTTTACGTATCGCTTTTGGCGAAATTCGTTTTAATTAAAATTTGACTTTACGGTCGTCGCCAGTTTTGTCCTTTGCTCTTTAATTTGAAATCTCCTCTCGTGGGACGCAAAGAGCGCAGCGGCGCCTTTTTTTAATTTCAGACGAGCAAACGAGAGCAAACGCTGTCGTAAATTACTGTATCAAAGGCAGGCGAGCAATTTAGAACCGTTTGGTACAAGCTTCCTGGGGATTAAAAGAAGTTTGAAGGTTTTAAAAAAAACATAATTATAATTTTAAGGAAATAATTGTTTTACTATACATTTTGAAACATTTATTTATCGATATTTATTTTAAAAAATCAAAATTGTTACATTTTGATTAAAATTTATTTATTCTTATTTGTTTGTTTAAACAATTATTTATTTCATCAATAGAAAATATATAAATTGTCTTATTATTAGGTTTTTTTTAAATTATTTTTAAATAAATAAATTTATTTTATATTTGCAATCATCAGTTCAATCTGAAGGAATATCTGTGACAAACATAACTAATGTTTTCAAAGCTTTCGCACTTATTTCATGAAAATAATTAAAAACTACAATACAATATAATTTGTAAGAAATTTAAATAAAATCTTTTTCAATATATTAGTTAAATAGATTATTTCCGAATATTGAAGTAAAAGAAATTGAAATTAACGGTATTATTTGATTGTTTCAGAACTGCTACGAAATGGAGCGGTACCTGAAGGAGGAGCCGAAGCTGCAGAGCTACAAGAAGCTGCCGACAGACCTGGACACGCCGTGGAACATGTTCTCGGCGCCGGTGGTGGTGACGGCGTCGTGGACAACGACGCCGACGGTGGCCGAGGCGGTGGAGGAGGCGGCGACCGTGGACATGGCGGACGCGCACCTGGCGTCGGCCGACGAGGACGACCGGCTGAGCCTGGACGAGCTGCACCTGGAGGTGGGCGAGGAGGAGCGACTGCACTCGGACTGCGCCAGCCTCAGTTCGGCGAGTTCGTGGGACAGCAGTAAAGAGGGCGAAGGTGGCGAGTCGTCGCTCGAGCTGCGGTTAGCGCACCAGTCCACCCTGACGCCACCTTCGAGCCCCGAATCAGGGGCGCACAGTAGCAGTAGTAGTGGCGCGCCGAGTCCGGCGGGCCCCCGATCCAAGGGCGCCATGCTGAGGCTGTCCGTGGCCGCCTCCAGAGCCGCCTCCTCCTCCTCCTCGTCGTCCAGTGCCTCCTCCTCCGTGGCCAGGTTGCTGGCGCCCGCCACCTTCCACCCCAACAGACTGCAGGCCGACCACTCGCCAGACTCCAAGCGGAGAATCCACAAATGTCAGTTCCCCGGCTGTAAAAAGGTCTACACCAAGAGCTCGCACCTCAAGGCGCACCAAAGGACGCATACAGGTAGGAAACTCACCTTTTATATTGGAATTTATCAATTATAGGTAATAAAATTTAAGATATTACATTACAGTTATTATTATTATCATTTGAAACTAGAGTTGAGATGATTGAAAGATACAATACTTTAAATTTTATTTTTAAGAAGAAGATTTCATTTGTTAATCAATTTTTTTTTAATATTAATAGATAGGATGCAAAATATTTATGAAAACTTAATTAGTTTTAAAGGTTAAGTTAAGAAACTGAAGTCTTTTAAATATTTCCTTTTTTTCTTTGCTGTATTTTGGTCAATTCTCCTCTAGCTGCTGATGATGGTAGATTCGGATGATTTCATAATTAAATTTCGTTTCGGCCCTGAGAAACGAATCAGGGGCTAAATTCGGTCTCAATTTAAAAATTAATCAATTTTATCTTTTAATTTATTGCTTTCTGTACTGGCATAGAAATGATTCAATTTTACTGTACTTGATAGTTTATAATTAAATTAATATATCATTCAAGTTTAATATATCACTTGAAAATTTTATTCACCTATTATACAAAACTTACTCATTACTTTTCACTGTTTTTCCCTGAATTACCTCTTCACTTTAAGTAGAAGGAAAATAATGCAAAGAAAATAACTAAAGAGAAAACTCTGTGAATAATAATAACAAAAATACGCATTTCATGCAAATCCTCATTTCTTGCTTGAAAAGAAAATGGCAACTCGTATATTATTATATAGTTTCCTGAGAATCCGGTAGAATTGAAGAAAAACACAGAGCGCGGAACTAAACTTTCCACTTACAATTAGAACCGAGAGAAGACAAACAACTCTAGCAAGTGCAATCGCGCACGCAACGGCAGAGCCGATAAAGAAAATTGCACTCGGCACCGCTCGTACAGTCATTCTGATACATATTCAACAGATAAATCTTGCCCAACCGCTTCTGTGCCAATTTAGGAGTGAAGTTTTCCGTGTTAAATCAGCGTCTAGCCGTCGAGCGAGCGAACGAGAGAGAATAACTCTGCGCGCATTGTGCTCTGGGCGCGCCACCGTTTTTCTAAATAAAACAGATGTCTGCTCTCCCAGCGGGCCGGGAATCGAGGAAAAGCGTCTTTCCCTCTTTTCAACGCTTTTTTATACAATAATAGATACACACATACAGCAGACGGCCGCTGGCGGTGAGCGCGAATTTTCCATGCAAAATATCACAAAGTGAGCCGGAGAAGATAAGGGGGCAGTATATGGGAGGGGGCGGGGGGGAGACCCACTAGCTTTTCGTCTGTGCGCCCGATAACGGTTTTCGAGCAGACGTTCTTTGCCCTGTGTATGTATGCGAGCTCGGAAAATTAGCATTTTTGCACTCGGCAATATCAAAGCCGGTTTACACACACACAAAAATCGACCCGCGTGCGCGCAGTTAACATGCAAAATGTGCTCCGGCAGAAAATGAGAGAGCCGCGCAACCCCTTTTGCTTAAATCGACCTATAAAATTATGCTAAACGTCTCTCGTGTTGTAGCATTTTATCCCCGGCGTCGCCAAAGTTTTAATAGGAAAAGCTTCTTCCGTTCATATTTCACACGACTTAATTTCGGAAATTCGCATAATCGCGCTTCTATCTCTCCCCGGCCGGCCGCCGGGTAAGCGAAAAAACCGGGATTAAAGTTGGTGCGGATAAAAAAAAAAATAACGGCCGACTCGTGATTCCTCGCAAAAAAGTCCAATGCGGCGCAATTTGCATTAATTGATTTCGTGCGAAAAGGGAATCGGCGGGAAAATCAGCTTATTTAGCAGATTCGAATCTCTCGACTGAGATGGAAATGCACTTTTTTCATCGAACGGCTGCTGCTGCCGGGGGAATTGAATATGGCTCTTGCTTCGAGTGGATAAATAGAGAGAGAGAGAATTCAATGCAATCAGCGCGGATTTTATTGTAGCTTGATTACGTTCACGCTATTTGCACAGAAGAAGAGAGAGAGAGAGCGAGGCGGTCGGAGAATATAAGAGAGTTAATGGTATTTGGCGAGAGGATTGCCGCTGCTAATCTCGTGTTAATAGAGTTAGAAGCCTCCGCCTCAAAAAGACCCATTCTCATCAGCACACGTCACCGGGCAAAACTTATACTTTCGTCACCCCGCTCGCGACGTCTGTCTGCGCCGCCGAGTGTGTTTGCACAAATGCGTATCACTCGCCCCGCATGTGTAGGGTGCGATAGTAGACTGTACATGGGAGCTGCACTTATTATTTTTCCACGCTCTGTCAACAGCCAAAAGTGGCCAGATTTGTTGCCTGTGTCAACAGCCGGGTAATTGGAAATGCGGCCCAACTTTATTGGGGAGGTACGGACGCGGGGAAGGTGCGTCGGTTCGTTTTCCAGATTCATTGCGAAAGGAAGTGAATAAAAAATTTATAACAAAATGTTAATAGTTAAATTTATAAAAATATATTTTATTTGTTGTTGTTTATTCTACTCAAGTCATACATGAAAAAAATTGATTTGGAAAAAATGAGCAGAAAGGGTATCACAACTAGCAGAGGTCTGCTAAAACGCCCGACATCAAAAAGAAATTGGCCACCGCGTGAACCCACACACTATTTAAAAAAAAAGAACAAATTATTATTATTATTATTATTATTACATCGTTCTAGCGAATTATTCTCAATAAGGTATTTTTATTATTATATAATATTCGGTTTATTGAATAATTTTATTTTTTATATATTAAACAATTCGGCCAATTGATTTAAAGTGTAAATTTTTTTTAAATTTTTAATATTAGTTTTATTTATTGATATTTTTCAAAGCACACTACACTAACCATATCATTATCTTGAGAGAAAATTTGTGGTTCGCCAGTTGAAGAACTTCTAGCATATAATTGTAATTCTTTGGAAAAATAAATACTGGAAAATGCTGTAATTTTTATAAGGGTGTTAGATAATCTCAAATCCCTAAATTATTAATTCTAACCCTTAATTTCAAAATGTTTATATCTACTTGCATCCTAAGAATCACTTGATATAAATTTCCAATGAAATTTAATTTGTTATTAATCCTCTCGCATAGTGGTAAATTTAATTATTGTTTTTGAAAAAAGTATATTTTTATTGGAACTGTTAATGTTAAAGAAAACATATTTACAGCAATACAATTGCTTTACAACTACAAAAAACGCAATTATTTTTTCCACCGATTGCGTAGTTTTTAATTTTTCTTCATTTCTTCCTCTTTTAGCGCACAATCCCGTGGTCTCTGCATATTTGGGCGAATTAGCATTTTAATTAAAAGACCAAAATCTCGTTCCACAACGCCTGCTTGCCGTCTGGAGGACGTCAAAACAAACACACAAGAGGTTTACTAGGGAGAAGGAGAACCACCGTCGTTTTTCCGTTCACCCGACAATTACATAAATATAGATTTCCCGTCCAAGTTTTGCCCCGGGCTATACTGCGGCTTCTCTCTCAGAGGAAAAGTAGTGTGGAGCGATCTTTTTAGGTCTTATTAGGTCTTAGAAAGCAATCACATTACACATGAGAGAGAGATAGAAAGAGCCTAGCCTGCCTCTCTCTCGCTCCTCATCATATATTCGATCAGCGTATTTGCCAATATATGGATGACATTATTCCGCCGATGCCTCCACGCACTACATATGTACCTACAAATATATACGGCCGAGATGGAAGCATCTCTCTTGCTCGGAACGCGCGAAATAAATTTTCCGAGCACATCACGTTGAGAGGCGCGGCGCGCTATTGCTTACAACGCCAAATTAACATAGAAATAGCTTGTACTGCAAATGACATTCGCGCGCATTCACAAAAAGAATGAGAAGCGAGAAAGATAGACGAGCACACGATGAATTCTGCTCGCAAATAAATATATAAATATGTGCGGCTCTTCATTCGCAGCCACGCTCTTTACGCATTCGAAGAGGTTTTGATTGCGCGTGGCACAAAAGCCGGCCGGAAATTGGAGAAATTCCTTCACGCCTTCGGCTCCTTTGAAGAGGAAGTGGAAAATATAAAAATAATATATTCCAAACCATTATTAGTTTTGGGGAATTTTACAGAAAAACACGTGCTGCTCATATTTTTATTTTCTGCTTCATTTTCGTTTTTTGCAATGCTCCCAAAATTTAATTCGCTTCTATATTTGATAAATGTTTTAGTATTTTTTTATTTTTTATTCAAAACTTCATGACTGGCTTTGTAATTAAAAAATCACCGCTCCGCCAAAAAAATCCTTCTTATGCGTCTTCTTATTTAGTTTTTAAATTACTAAATATAAGAATTTTTCTTCTTGTAGATATTGAGGGCGCATAAGTTTCAAAAATTGTTGGCTGCAAAAAAGGAAGTAGATGAAATCTTGCTTTTTCCAACCCTTAAAACGATTTTGCAAAATATTATTTTCCAATTATTAGGGAAAATAATCAAAATTTAATTAAATACAATCAAAATTTAAATAAATACAATCTAAATTTTATATTTTAGATCGTTATAATCTTAATTGATCGCAATTTTAATTTGATTCTTTTTTCAAGTTTTGTGCTCTTTGTAATTAAAAAATTTCCCCCTGAAATTTTACTGCTTTTTAATCACAGAAAAGTGCGCGATAAAAGATGAGAGAGTTATCGAATTTGATCCTTTCACAGGCAAAGTTAAACGAAACTTGATAAGTAATTAGGCCATCAAAATGCGCGAGGCCCTAATTTCAAACGAGCGCGCCAATTTGTTCGATTTAATGCGATTACCCGAGTGCAACTCGTCGCTCGAGCAAATTGCCGGCAGAACGAGTCAGGTGTCGAGTGGCTCTGTGAAGGCAACAACGGCGCTGGCGTTTCATCGCACAAGAGACGACGTTATTATAATCAGGGCGCGATATAAACTTGGCTCATTTGATGGAATAAGCGGCTTACGGGGGCGACGGAGGCTGTGAGCACAGAAAGGCCTTCCTGATTCTTGATATCGCGCCAGCGAGGCAGGCAATGAGCCGAGCTGCTTAACCCGAAACC